CAGGAAGGCCGGGTGCTCCAGGTCCCAAAGGATCCCCTGGCATGGCAGGCTTTCCAGGCAAGTGTTTATGCTTTAACAAAAAAAGGTAAATTGCAGTGAAAAATTAGTATCAAACTTATACCAAATATCCAGGATGTAAAACCATATCTTCTTGCTTTCTTTAGGAAGCCCAGGTCGCCATGGAGAAAAGGGTGAAAAAGGACTTCCTGGCTTAAGTGGCATTCCAGGTTTAAAAGGAGAACCAGGTAGAGAAGAAATATAAAACACTAAATGCTTCTTAAAGTATTCTTCACTTCTGAGTGGTGGCTAAAACAAATGCTGTGACCTCCTACAATCATTTTGGCTTGAATATACCTTGTGCGTTTGTTCATTTCCCAAGTGAAAAAACACTCTGCTGTTTCTCAGGTAAATCTGAGTTAGTGTAGTGTGGGGATAGGACTTCTTTTGCACTGCTTGCAGAAAAGATTTTACTGTCTTCAACAAGACTGGTTATTGCTCTGGCTATTAGTTATGTTGCTTTTGATTAAACATTTAGGTCTTGATCCATGGGACCCAAACCTGAATTACCACATTTAACATCATTACATGGATGTTAAAGAGCAAAGGGAATAGGGAGGAAAGTAGCTCTGTTGCTGTCATGGCTATAAGAGCGTTTTGGAACCTGGAGCCTTATGTTAGTTTACTGGCTGCAGGACACATCATCTCGTTGGACATGGGCTGTGCTGTTCCTGGGGCTTTGCTGGAGTTCCTACCCTCTAATCTCATGGAGATTTACGATTCCTAGCTATACGAAATCTGTAATGCTTGAGCCCTGTCTCACGCTGATGTAATTTAGAAGTAACATCAGAAAAAAGCCAGACTGCAGTCGTCGTGCGGTAGCTATTTGACTTTTGTGGGAGCAAAAGCATAAGTTAAGCTTTTCTTTAGGAAAAAAATATGTAAAAAAAGTCTGATGATTCATAACTGAAATGAAAATGGCAATGATTTTTCAGGTGAACCTGGTCTTCCGGGCCCTACCGGTTCCATTGGGCAGAAAGGTGAACCAGGTTATGATGGGATTCCAGGTGCAGCTGGTGCAAAGGGTGAACAAGGTACTGTTACTGTTACGTTAAATTTATTTGGTGCAAAGATGCACAGAGAGGGTTTTGCTGGGAGAGGGATTTGCTAGTTTTGAGGTACTTTGGACTGGAACATTACAAAATGAAATTAGTAAAGTGTCTTGCCAACTACTGACTGTCATCCATCGTTATAAAGCTGAGCCTTTTGATGAGCAAAAACTGTGCTTAATCAGTGTAATCTTGAAATAATTTCTTTTGCAAAAGCTGGCAATTCTATAAAGAGTTGGCATGGTCTGGAATTAGTTTCCCTGTGCAAGTTAGCTGTGAAATAACGGAGCAAGCTTGTTTCTTCTTAGAGTAGGGTTTTCAGTCATACAGGACCCATTGTGCTAGATACAATACCAATGCATAATGAAGACGGTTCCTGCCCTGAAGAGCTCTTACGTAAACCATTTATTTAGATTTTGTATTTGCTTAATAGAGTTTTGCTCAACCATTTATTTAGATTTTGTATTTGCTTAATAGAGTTTTGCTCATTACAGCTTAAATGTAACTACTGGTCTGTCTTCTCCTTTTTGCTGCCTCTATATTATAGGTCTTCCAGGTAGAGGACTTCCAGGATTTCCAGGTGCAAAGGGAGATAAAGGTAAAACACCTTTTTAAACAAGCAGCTAACCTCCCTCCCAACATGCTCAAAAATAGTTCTGTAATTCAGACATACTTTCTACATCATTCTTTTACATGCTGTACGTTTTCATAGCAGGCAGAAACTCTGAGAGGCTCAAATACTAATTTGTGTTACAGCGGCAGCATCTTGGACATGAGTTAGATATGCCCTAAAATAGGTAATTATTCTTAGTGTGGAATTTACTGCAAGCTCTGCTGTGATGCGGTAATACAAATAACTTTCCTGTTTGTGTGCTGTGCTTTTGAATTCCAAATATTTCTATTTCCCTACTAATTTTGCAAAAATCAGAGTGTAATAAGGCTCCATGCACTAGACAGCTAAAGATAGTGATTTTGTGGCCAAGGTACTGCAGTAATTAATTTACCTGAGTCTGTTGTGCAGTCCAGGTGGAAATCATATTCACCGCTAAAACTGTTATTCGCTATAGCTCAGTAGAGCATGTCTAAACTGCGCAGGAGCATGGTGCAGGGATGCCAAAGATAGCAGAGATCAGAGGAAGTCTTACTGAAAACGTTTACTACCTGGACTCAGAACTTGCTAGCTTGGGTACAGGCACATAGTTACTACAATTTCGAGACTAGTTTTGCACTTCACAAAGAGTGTCACTATACTGTGCTGTGAGAATTGGCTCGAGCCACAGCTCGCTCGACGTGTCTGTATGCACCATGCTCCATTTTATGAAGCAGGTATGTCTTAGAGAGCAGAGTACAATAGATACAGTACTGAAGATACATCAAACTGCTACTAATAAAGGACATTATATTCAATTAAAGGAGTTTCAATTTTAAGCATCCGGAAAACAAAAATGATTCGACTAGTCCACCTATAGACAGATTTTGGAGAGTTTATATAGCTTGAAATGTCAGTGTCCTCACTGCGCTCATTTATGCTTTAAATTCAGGAGATTTCGTGTGGACAATCAAAAGTGATGAACCAGAATTTTAGAATATCTTTTATTTATCTTCTTAGAATTATTAACAGACATGAAATTGCTGAGAAAGTCATAACGTTAGAGAATTATTTTAATAAGCAAATTTTCTAAGCATAGCTCAATAATGCATGTAAAACGCTAAATTATAAGAGCATTTTCCCTACCCTACCAATCTCATTTTGTCAGCACAGCTCTTTTTAAAATATTTGATTTTAGAGTAGACGGATGTTTAGCTGACATCGTTTTTGTTCCAAAGGTTCTCTTTTTGTTCCAAAAAGAGAGTCC